ATGCGGGACTCGATCCCGGGACTCCAGGATCATGACCTGAGCCGAAGGCAGTCGCTTAACCAACTGAGCCACCCAGGCGCCCTCTAACTTCATTTAATGAGAAAATATATGGCAGATAAAAAGAATCCAGCCAAGCTTTTAAATTAACGGGTAATTTTATTAATAACAATAGCATCTACACACATTTGAAAACACACATGTAGGAAACATAAGATTAATTCAGTTTATAATAATGTCTGGAATCCATTTGGATTCACGAAACCCTTAGGATCAACTCCAGGACCCCTTAGCCAAAAGCAGAATTGAACAACTGATCAAACCCATCAGTGTCTTCATCAGCAAAATCAAGGCTTAGGCAGAAAGAGTGAACATTTTGTAATTACATAAAATAAAACTAAAATGCAATTGTCTGCGCATTTGAGGATACAAAGGTGGACAATGTTAGCTGCATGACCAGTGAACCAATCCCTTTGCTTTTCTCAACCTCTGGGTTGTAAAGGGGGTTATTTAACCTTGCCTGTCTTACAGGGTCTATCTTTTCAAGGCCTCCTGATAAGCGAGAAGGTGAGTGTAAATTAAAAGCTCATCTCCATGGGGAACAGAGGATCAGGATGGAGATGGTGGGTGTCAGAAAAGGAGATGGGAAGAGGATCTTTCCAGTGACCAATGCTCTGAATTTAAAGAAAATCCAAAAGAGGTTACACTACAAGAAGCATAAAGGGAAAACCAACCACCACCACCACCTCCTTTTTGGTGCACAAAAAGAATCTTAACCCGGGCCTCCTCAGAGCTATTGCCCTGAAGTGACCCCAGACTGACTTGGCCAAAGAGCTCCAAAAACATTTCCGTTTTCATGTCTTCACGTGTAACTAATGGAAATGAACGGCACGGCACGCATCCATCCAGGAAGCGATTAAGAAAGGGATAGCGTGGGAAAATTAATTCGACCAATTTTAATTCAGTTAAGTATTGAAGTGTCCACTATGTGCCAGGCAGACTGGCGCTGACTGTATTTAGCAGAAAATCAGACCAGCAAAGTCTGTTAAGGGCTTGAGGAGACAGACCATAAATACAACTTCTGACAGCTGCTAGGAGGAAGAGAAAACAATGAGACCAGGTGATAGGCAGGAACGAGAGACGCAAATTCCTGAGTGGGACTTGGGAAGGTCTCGGAGAGGTGACTTTTGAGCCCAGCCCTAAATGATCAGCGCCTTGAGTGACCCAAGGCCGGAGCGTTCCAAGAAGAGAGAATTAAATGCAAAAACGATCCACAAACCGAGAAATAATAGGGATTTGAAAGCCCCAAAGGGAGCGGCGGAAACCAGAACCTACGAATTCCGGAGCGGGCGCGTGATTTTGAATATTCATGTCGTCCAATCAGGGAAAGGCTAGGACCCGGCAGCGCAGGCCCCGCCCTCAGTGCCCAGACCGCTGGTATCCACAGGAGTCCACACCGCAGGGCAGAAGTGGTGACTGGGCACCCCGGCAGCTGCCAAACGCTTGCCAAACGCTCGGGGCTCTGACGCAATGTTCCCGGGACCCGGGTTTAGTTGTCCTGGGGTCCTTTCTTAGGTGAGGATGACCGAAATCACTCATTTCGTTTTAGAACACCGATGAAACATACACCCAACAACGTCACCAGGACACAATAGTCTGGGGACGGAAGGGGAGAAGCGGATTTTCAATAACCTAATTCGGAAAGGACTTGTAGGAAAACTAAGCAGCACAGTTAAGGAGTCAAGACGCGCCCTAGATTAAAAGCAGAGCCAGTCACGCGCCAGAAATCCCAAGTACGAAAGGCTTAAAAAGCTACGTGTGCCATCTTCCGTGATCTTTCACAAGTAGAGTAACTTACTTTGTGAGATCAAGTGAGGGGAAAATAAGTGAACAAAGCTCTTTTCTGGTGATTAGGTGGGTGGCTCTGAAAAGAGCCTTTGGAGTCAAGCGGCCGGCGACTCATGCGAGCGCCGTGTCCCGGCAGGGACTCACTTGGAGCTGGTGTACTTGGTGACCGCCTTGGTGCCCTCGGACACGGCGTGCTTGGCCAGCTCGCCGGGCAGCAGCAGGCGCACGGCCGTCTGGATCTCCCGGGACGTGATGGTCGAGCGCTTGTTGTAATGCGCCAGGCGGGAGGCCTCGCCGGCGATGCGCTCGAAGATGTCGTTGACGAAGGAGTTCATGATGCCCATGGCCTTGGACGAGATGCCGGTGTCGGGGTGCACCTGCTTGAGCACCTTGTACACGTAGATGGAGTAGCTCTCCTTGCGGCTGCGCTTGCGCTTCTTGCCGTCCTTCTTCTGGGCTTTGGTGACAGCCTTTTTCGAGCCCTTCTTGGGCGCGGGAGCTGACTTTGCCGGTTCAGGCATTGCAGAACACCTCACTCGTTAGCAAAGAAAGGAAGTGCGAGAATGGGCGGGCCTGATCCTTTTATAACCACCGTATGCAAATTAGGGCTCCAAAAGCCCTTCGTTCCCATTGGGCCTTGTAGGGACCTTGCGTTATCAGTAATCACTACGTAACAACACCTACTCTTGGCCTCATTGGCCAGTTCTGGAGCCAATTCAGGACCAATGAAAAACTCGTTCCTGACCCCACCCCTAGCAAAGCTTATAAAAGCTTTTCAATCGCTGATCTTTTAATCCTGTTTTGTTGTGAGGTTTTGAGCTTAGGTGTTTTAGCCTCACCTTCAGTCATGTCTGGTCGCGGGAAGCAGGGAGGCAAGGCCCGCGCCAAGGCCAAGTCGCGCTCGTCCCGCGCCGGCCTGCAGTTCCCGGTGGGCCGAGTGCACCGCCTGCTGCGCAAGGGCAACTACGCCGAGCGGGTGGGGGCCGGCGCGCCGGTGTACATGGCCGCGGTGCTGGAGTACCTGACGGCGGAAATCCTGGAGCTGGCGGGGAACGCGGCCCGAGACAACAAGAAGACGCGCATCATCCCCCGCCACCTCCAGCTGGCCATCCGCAACGACGAGGAGCTGAACAAGCTGTTGGGCAAAGTCACCATCGCCCAGGGCGGCGTTCTGCCCAACATCCAGGCCGTTCTCTTACCAAAGAAAACTGAAAGCCACAAAGCCAAAAGTAAATAAAACACTGATAAGCCAAAGACCAAAGGCTCTTTTTAGAGCCACCCAAGTTTTCAAAAAAAGAGCTAATGCGCTATTTCGTTATCAGCCCCTCCATTGACCTTTTGGTGGCTCTTAAAAGAGCCTTTGGGGTTAGGGGGGATGGTCTCGACCTTCCTAATTACTTGTTTTTGCCAGGCTTGTGACTCTCCGTTTTCTTGGGCAACAAGACCGCCTGAATATTGGGCAAGACGCCGCCCTGGGCAATGGTGACCCCCCCAAGTAACTTGTTGAGCTCTTCGTCGTTTCTCACGGCTAGCTGCAAATGGCGGGGGATGATGCGCGTCTTCTTGTTGTCTCGGGCCGCGTTCCCCGCCAGCTCCAGGATTTCCGCCGTCAGGTACTCCAGCACCGCGGCCATGTACACCGGCGCGCCGGCCCCCACCCGCTCGGCGTAGTTGCCTTTGCGCAGCAGGCGGTGCACTCGGCCCACCGGGAACTGCAGGCCGGCGCGGGACGAGCGCGACTTGGCCTTGGCGCGGGCCTTGCCTCCCTGCTTTCCGCGTCCTGACATTACGGCCAAAAACGCAGTTACAGCTTCTTATTCAAGGAGAAGGAAGTGGAAAGGAGAACCAATTTGGTGTAATTTATAAGAGCTACCGGGTGGGGTGAAGGGAAGTAGCCCAACCAGACAGCCAATAGGAAAGCAGAAAGCAGCTTCTTCGTTTGCATCCGGCACTACGAGGAAATGACGGATTTCGTAAGTACCTACCAATCGCTGGGAGCCACATTAAGCCCCTTATTTGCATGCCAGGATTTTTAAAGAAAGAAGGCTTTCGGACCAAACGCTGTTTTGTTTCGCCTTTTACTGAATGGCATATTTTGTTTCCATCTTAGAGAAGGGCGGGGGGGGGGTGTCTTTTTTTTTTTCCAGTTAAGAGCTAGAAGGGAAATCCTAAGAAGGACCCAAAAGGCCTGCAGAGGGCCTCCAGCAGAAGCAGAGTTGCTCCACTCAAGGGTACGGATTCTGAAGCCGATTATCCCCTTGAGCCTTAAGTTACCCTCCAAGTCCCGCCTTTTCGGTCTCTTCACAGCCAGACTTCCAAAAGAATGTTAGTAAGGCCGCCCGCTTTCTCTGCAATTTAGTCGTGGCCTTCGGTGTGGCTTCGCCCCACCCCCAGCCCCCTACGCTCTTCGGAATCCACTGTAACCAAGGACCGGTTTAGATTTGTCTTCCTTCTCTCGACCTCCAGGAGGCATCCGATACCGCCTTGAAACTTGCTCCCTTGGCTTTCAAAATGTCCTCCGACTTTCCTCCTCCCGCTCCTTTTCCTCTACTCGTCCCTGCGTTCCCGTGTCTGTCTGGTCTCTGCCTCCTACCCAACACCCCCCTCCATCCTTCACTCTTCCCGAGGAGTCTTCCCACTTCCATGCTTTCAATTATAGACATCCAGATTTGCTCCGGAAGTTCAGACCCTGACACCAAACTGCTTACTGGGTACTTCAACCCATTTATCCCAACAATTCGACCTATCCAAACGCGAACTTATCTAAAAGACCTCCAGTCGCCTCTGTTTGCTCTCTTTCCCTCAATTACAACCTAAGCCGGAATCTACACTTAACCTGCCTCTCAACAGCATATCCGGTCACTTCCCTAACGTCTCTTCAGCCTTTTCTCCGTGCTCCTGTCTGCCTCCTCATCGCTCTCTTAGACTTCAGCAACAGCCCTGCAGACTTGTTTTCCTTCATCCTCCAGTTGCCTTCTGGAGAAGTCTTTCCTGAAAATTTTGTTCCTTTCTCCTCAGCTTCCCAACCTGGAGTGTTCTACACCCCTCACACCATTTGCACCCTCTCCTGAGTATCCCATAAGGACAGGAAGTAGAATACTATAGAGAAAAGAGTAGACTTAAATCCTATTCCTTGAGCCCATTTCTGATCTCTCTTTCATCCTCACCTTTATTGAACTGACCTTTATCAAGTACCTGCTACCTACCAGGCAAAGGGGATATAGGTTGCTGAAACTAGAAAATAGAGGAAATCTAAACTCTGGAAGTTAAAATCAGCTATCTGTAGACATTATCCGTGGTAAGCATGCTGGTATAGATTGTGAAACACCCAAGTTCAATCAAAGGCTATGGGAGTGTTTTTTCAATAGCAGAATGTACCTGAAGGTGATTCTAACCCTATCAGCTTTATCACTGCAGAAGATGCCTGTGTTAATAGAAAGATGTGGTCCACATCGAACCTAAACAGGGCAATTACAGTTGGAATGTGTTGTTTCTCCAGCACTAAGAATGTATATTATATGTCTGCTAGACACAAAGGTTTGGGCTATTATAGAAGGGTCCTTGGTTGTGAAAACATCAGCCTTTTCTCACAATCTGGGTGAAACAGTTCTGAAGACTGTCTAACTCTCTTAGCTCAGATTCTGGGCTCAACCTCTTTCCAATTATTCTACTTCAAGATCAAAATATGAGACTGAGAAGGGATGAGCCAGTTATGAGAAGATATATCACTAGAGGGTAATGAACTTGCATTCTAGACTATTCATAAGTTTCTTGTGTGTTTTGTTAGTGTGAGTCTCTCCCCAGTAAGCCAGTACACTGGAAGTTCTGATAGCGTCAACTTTTCAGACCTACAGGGTCTGAACCCAGACACTGGGGACCCCACCACAACTCTGGCACCTTGAGAGTTCCTGCTTGAGGGGGCAGCTGACCTCCCCCTCTCTTTGATCTCTGATCTCTTTTTTCCTTCTATCACGGTGACCCTGTGCTATTAGGAAAGGTGAAGGGCAAAGAGATTATATGATGTAGATGTGATTGTTTGTATCACAGATAAGGAAAGTGAGGCTCAGAGAAGCTAAAGCACTTGCTGAAGGTGACACAGCTATTTACTAAGACATGATTAGAACTCAGGTCTGCCTGACTCAAAAATTGTGCTCTTCATCACTGCATTCACCCTGCTTCACTCACTAGATGTTGAGTGAAAAAAAAATCCCAGTTGCCTTTTTGTTAAAGGAAGTAAGACCCAGCCTGTTTGTGATGGTGTACTACTTTTACGGGTGGCCTGCTCGATTTCATATTTTTATTAACTTACACAGCCTCCCTTTCCTCCTCTATTAAAGAGAGGAAGAGAATGAGAGAAAATTAGATTTAGTGTTTTAGATTCCATCCAGTTGTAAAAGCTTATTAGATAAGTCTAGAATAGACCAGTGTCCTACAAATTATACCAGGCTCAATTACTATCTATTGCTCCCTGGAGCTCTTTTCCCAGTGTTCTTACCAGAGCTATTAAAATATGAAATCGAGCAGGCCACCCGTAAAAGTAGTACACCATCACAAACAGGCTGGGTCTTACTTCCTTTAACAAAAAGGCAACTGGGATTTTTAATTTTTTTTAACATTTTCTTTTTTTTCTTAAGATTTTATTTATTTATTTGAGAGATAGAGAGAGAACAAACAGGAGAGGGAGAAGCAGGTTCCCTGCGAGCTGGGAGCCCAACGTGGGGCTCGATCCCAGGACCCTGAGATCATGACCTGAGCTGAAGGCACCCAGGCACCCCGCAACTGGGGTTTTTAAACCAAGGCAACTGAGTCCCTTCCCAGGCAATCTAGTTAACCAAACATTTAGTTTGCCTTCTCGCCGCATTCCACCATTCTAACCATAGTCCTCTCTCTTCCCCCCCACCTCTCTCTTCCCCCCTTGCTGCATACCATTCAAGCAAGGCCTTTCCACAGTTACCTACCATTGCACACACAGTGGCCTTTGGCTAGAATGCTTCATCCTCCTCTTGACCTGGCAGAATCCTCCTCATCCTTCCAGTCAGCCCAGACATCACCAGCTCCTTCACGAGGTCTTCCCTTCTCACACACACACAGCCTCAGTGTACCCACTTCTCTGTTCAGATCCTGCTGGTAGCACTTACTCTGTACTGCGCTTTCACTCGGCTCTCACTTCCTTTCTGTGACCACCTCAAGGGAGAGACCGTGTCTTTTTGAATCTGAGTCCTTAATTCCTTCTACCTGGCTCTTAATAGGGTAATTAAATGTTTTTGACTTGAATAAATGGCATTACACTCTTAGGGAATTAGTGTCTTCTTTTCAATAATCTTTCTCTTTACTCAACAACCACTCTCCAAATGCCGACTACAAACAGTAGACGGCGACAGCCAGAGTGATAGAAGATATACTAAAAGCTCGTCAATTAAACAAAAATAATATAGCCAACCGTAATAGAGTTGTTAGAATAAATGAGAATAAACGTAAAGAACCTAGCATGGAGCCCGGAACCTGAGAGGGCCCAAAGCTGTATTAGGAGGCTGAAATGCTTAATGGTTAAGAGCCCAAATTCCACAGCCTGACTCTGCATTGTTTACCAGATCTGTGACCATGGGCAAATTACCTAACCTCTAAGGGTCTCTGCTTCCTCACTGGTAAAGCAAAAGTTATAACAGTGGCTACTTCATGGGGTTGTTGTAAAAATTTAAAACAGTTCATAAATGTAAAACATTTAGAATAGTACCTAGCACCAACATAATAGGGGCATTCCAAAACTCTTTGAACCAATTTGTCATTTCAAAAATAAACATTAGGTTTATCAGATGACCTAGCAATTCCACTCCTGGATATACAGCAAACAGAAGTGAATGTCTGCATGCAATAAAAAGCATGTACCAGAATGTGGTATATTCATATCCTGCCATACCACACAATGAAATGAGCAAATTGCTGCCACGCACATGGATGAATCTCACAGACAATGTTGAGTGAAAGAATGCAAACACAAATGAATTCATGCTACGTGATTCTTTTTATATGAAGTTTAAAAATGGGCAAAACTAATCTATGGTGATAGAAGTTCGAATAATGGTTACCTGGGGCAGGGTGGTGTTGACCTCCCTGGAGCCTTCAAGGTGCTGGAAATTTTCTGTATCTTGATGTGGATGTATTCATATGTAGAATTAAACTGTACACTTAAGATTTATAAATTCCTTATGTGTAAATTATACATCAATAAGCACAAATTAAGTTTTCCA